CCTCCCTGAGCCTCCTCTTTTCCAGACTAAATGTATACTTCATCCACTTTCAAAAGTCTTGGCAATTTTAACAACCCAAAAGTAATCTTGAACTGGAGTTGTATATCTAACAAACTCCCAGGCAGAACTGAAAAAATGTTCAAAGTAAACATCACCTTATAAACAACATCTGGCATGAAAGAACAGACGATGCTGCTGTTGTACAAAGACGGAAACTCCAGGTAGAGTTGTTTCAGGGCATCAACTGCCTGTCAATTAGAGAGACACTGAGGTGTTATATCTGTACATACACTCATATTCACACTGCAAAGTCCTTTTAGAATAATCCCATTGAAAAATACTTGTGTAGCAACATTGAAATGGAAAGTGGGGAGAAAAAAACAGGATATTGTTTATAGCATTAACACAGAAATGACATTTTGGTTTCTACAACATAAGCCCTTTTCATGATTCTGTTTGCAGTAGTGAGTAGCATTCTCAGTGCTCACAATACCCTTAAATATATTGTGGATAAAACAAAGTACTACCTAGAGTTTACTCAAGGGGAATTTTTTCCCCCCCATATTTTTCTATACTAAAGAAAAAATATTATTCCAGTTTGCATAGATTTTAATGATCGATCATCTGTATCTATCTGCCTTCTGTAACACAAATTATACACAAGAGCAGGATCCCTAGTTGGAGGCTGAAGATGAGACCCTAGCTCTCCTCAGCACAGCCAGGGAATTCACTTTGCTTTGTTTCGTGGTGGTGGTGTGAGCTGAACTCAACACTCACACAAGTCTGGTGCTAATTTAAGTTGCAAATTGCCTGGACAATGGAATAGGATGAGGGAACATACTGTCTTTGCTTTGACAGCCCACCTTTGGATAACACAAATAGTAGATCCAGTCTCACTCATATTAGAGAAGGGACATTAGTGTGAGATCAACAGAAAAGCAGGTTAGAAACCCAAAGAACAGGTGAAGAGAGGTGTCTCAGTACAGTAAGTGGTACCTGATTTGCATGGCCTTTGACATCAAAGTAGATTATAAGATTGTGATGCATAGACTCCACAACGGCTTCTCTCAAAGTTGGTACCTTTTCACCTTGGAATTTGCTCCTGTAGAAATAAAGAACTCACTGGAACGCAGTCAAGATACACGTGTGCAAACATGGGTGCACAGCTACACAGAGCTGTGTCCTAGGGACTCCTGCTCTGCCTGCGCTCCCTAACCCTGAGCCAGAGCCACAGATCCTGGCAGAATAAGCCAGACAAGCTGAGGGTGTAGAGAAGCAGCTTCACATGTCCATTATTCCTGATAAGGTGACAACATACAACAGCTGGTCAGCAGTAACTGCCTGCATGGAAGTTCTGGCTGTGTCATTCAGGAGATCGCCTTCCCGGTAACAGATGGGGAAGATGCTACTTGTACCACAGACTCACAGCTGGTACATTTACAAGAGCCTGGAAATCCCTAATGCAGTGTCCAAGCAGCACACACTCAAAGCTCCTCCTCCAAGAAGGATTCACTTACGATACTGTATTGGTTGCATTGTTATCAAAATTCTAGTAATGCATAAAAACACATTCTCCTGCACACACTGGAAAGGACCTAATCACAGCTCCTACCTGATGCTAACCAGGAAGTCTGTCTGGCTCCTTTTCAACAGTATAATCCTGATGTTTAGAATCCCCAAGACACAATCACTCAAGAAATAAATGTGAATAAAATTAATTTTAGAAGTAATTACTCAAGCCAATTTTTATGTATCTTGAAATTCCCAGTATTGTTAGTGTCCTGCAGTCAATTTAGGGGAAGCTTATGTATAGATTAACCTGTTTCACATTAGATGCCTGTAGATTTTATCCTTGAAAGTCAGTTATCTTCACTCTGCTCCACTGTTCTTATTGCAAGGACATGTAAGGAGATATTAGTCTCATACACTCCTAAATTCACATGAGAAGTAGCATGTGGGACTAAGTTTTAAATTTATAAAAGTTTTCACCAGTGATAGATCAAATCAATAATTATGTTTACCAAGAACATTTCTTTTTTCTCTGTTGAAACAGTAGTTTCAGAACAGCAACGGTTCATTTACCCTAGCCTGTGCTTCGCAGATGGATTAAGCCTCCTAATTTCCTCAAAAGTCAAGTCACACAATCTTCCCGTGCCATCAGTTGTCCTTTCCACTGTGTCATCATGCATCAGGATGGGAACCCCATCTGCAGTAAATTCAAGATCCAGCTCAACACCCGTTGCTCCATTCTCAGCTGCCTTAAAGAAGAAAAAAAATCACATACACAAGACAGAAGAGACAGCTTTACAGATTGAATACAGGCACAGCTATGATTAGTTTGTATTCTGTCAAAAAAGGATAATAAACTAATACTGTTTTATTCAGTAAGCTTGATCTGTGCAACATAGTAGGTTTTTATCCAAAGTATTGTGAGAAGCATTCATAGATCAACTGAAAGCATATAACTTACTTTTACAGCTAAAACTATAGCGATAATGTCTCAGTCTTGGGATTGTTTCAAGATAAAAATGCAGAAAAGAATCCTCCTCTCTCCTTCTGGTCTAATAAATCCCGAGTCCTTAAGTCATGTTAATTTCTAAGAGAGAAGGGAAGCAAATGCCTACACTTCAGATAATTTATGGATTAACACTTAGAAGCCAGAATCAGAGCAGGCCACCAGAGCATACAGTATTTGCTCACACAAGGAAAACCCATCACCCCTCTTTTCATGGCACACAGGTGCAGTATTTCCTGTAAGAGATTCACCACTCACATGCAGTACGGTCAATCCACCACACCAGTAGACAGAAAACCTCCCACAAGCACCACACACCGTGCTTGCGTTAAATAGATGTGTGTAGGCAAATTCCTCTCCCACCTGAGGAAACCCCATATCAGAGAGCAATAAGCAGCTGCGTTGCCTTGAAGCATTTCATACATCCTGCTCCTGCCCTGGCTCTTCCCCAGGAACTCCTTAGAAAAGCACCTGAGTGAACTGCAGGCAAGCTGAATTGTTCTCAAGGCGAAATGCCCTCCTGAGAAAAGGGCCAACATAGTAGAAAGACAAATGCCAGGCATGCAGTAGAGGTTACTCCAGAGGTATCTGCCAAGTTAAGATCTCTATTGTACAGCTTCAGGCTTCGTCAGAAGAGCGAGCCCTGCCTTGCCCAAAGGTAAGAAATCAGAGCAGCAACATCCCATCATACAGGTACACTACATTTGAGAGGCTGCTAATCGCGATTTCAGGTGATCCTCAGAAACAGATTCTGAACCCTGGCAGCACCACGGTGCCTCGCAGGTGAGGCAGCAGTAAATTTCATGGCAGGGCTGTACCAGTGAAGTTTGTACAATATCAGATCTTCCCGTGCATGTGGATTCTCATCATCATCTTCAAGGCTTAGAAATCAAACAACCTGTTACTAGGTTGCTGTCTGCTCTCTCTATTCTGTTGCAACATCAGCAAAACATCGTGTTTCATTATTGTTACACTGCTAAAATATCCACCAGCACCAAGGATGCAACCCAGCTCCCACAAGTCTTGAATCTGACCGAACCGTTCTGATCCCGCCCCGGGATGAAGGACTGACATCCATACACAGCTCCCGGCGGCAGCTCGGAAGAATCTGGAGTTATTCAAGGCGAGAAGGGCTTGGTGCCTGCTGAAAAGGCAGGTCCTCAATCAGACCCCATAGGCCCGTAGTGCTGCCCACCACCGACTTCAGCCTCGCCCACCGGCCTTACGGGAAACAGGCTCTCTGCGGAGCACCGGGCAGCTGTGCCTCACGCTTCACAGCTCGTACGGGCCCCGCACGTCCCTCGGCGGCTGGGCACACCGAGCGCTCTGCCAACC